GCAGGCTCCACTTCAATAATTAATTTCTCAGCACTTGATCGCTTTAGAGAGTTAATTTTAGCTTCATTTTATACGTCATACAGTGTTTCTTCTGTATACCACTTCTTTATATATATTTTTTGAAAACAATCCTTGACGGAATTAACTCAACAAACAATCCCATCGCCTATAAAAACCCGAACCATAAACATTTTATATCAAACAGCGGTCCGGACTTCACCGTCCTCCCCCGCCCACTAAAACAACCCCCGGGGTGCGACGCGAGGTCACTCATCGGGGGTGGCGGTGGTTGGGCGTGGCGCCCCGTGAAAGAGCACGGCGTCAGACCAATGGGATTAGCGTGGGGCGGCCAATGGGGGCAGACGCTCCAGCAACCACCAGTTCACAAGTCAACGATCGCCAGACTGTGACTGTCCAAAGAGGCGGCCGCATACGCTTTCCCGTAAACAAGATGAACTCAGCACGAACAAATTCACTGGTTCCAGCGTTGTGATTGGCTTGCAGCGCGAAAAATTGTTGCTGCTCAGCCCCAAAGAGTGGAGCGGACGATCTAATTGCAATTTGGGACTGACGAATTATGAGTGAACTCAGAAAAGTACAACAAAGACAGTCGCAGAGAACAGACAAATGCATGTTTTCCTACGTCTGGAACCTGAACACCTCTGGGTCGTCCACTATCTGCCTCATTCTTGAGACAATCGTCCAGGGCGTTTTATGGTGCAAGTTCTAGCATGTTTCTGCTATGAAATGACTATCGATTAATGCCAGGTTCAATCAAAAAACGACAAGAGGTGGTTGGGAAAAGTCACATTGCTCCTGACTAGAGGGCCCAAAATGCAAATCGCTTAGAACAATCTTACTAGATGATCACCCCGCAGCCGCCCCCTGAGTAATCGAAATCGCATTACCCCTTGCCCTCAATCCTGTCATTAAATACCCATTAACCCCTTCGGAAAAGCGGGCAGGGGGCGGCAGGCGAACGGCTTAGAAACTGAGGAAAAACGGAAAAACTCCCATGAATATAAATGGAACTTCTCCTCTCTCGCAACACCATTAAATCAAAAACGGGCACATTCTAACGCAAGAAGGGGGTGACGTTGGAGGGCGGCGATGGGGGAGCNGGACGCAAATTCGGGGGTGGAGGCAGCGGCGCACGCCACAACAGAAGTTAAATACAGGGTAGCGAGATCTGATCCCGCCCCATGTCTGACTTGGCCTGATCATTTCCTGCATCCGAACGCGCTGAGCGGCCACATCCTGCAGGTGCGTCCAGTCTGTTCTACCTGTTGTGCCGTCGTGCTGTTCCGTGTTGTGCGCGGTGTTTGAGTAGGGATGGACGGCGTGACGCAAGCCAATCTGATGCAGGTGAGACGGTCAAGATCACCCGAGCACAACATGCACCCTACAGGTGAGTTCGCTTGCTTGTGCTTTTCCGGTCACTTCAACTGAGTAGGTACTCACGTAAATGACACCGAGTTGGGAGTATTTTCACTTTTTTCTTAAGAAGGAGGATGGGGCCTCGACCAGTCAATTAATGAGTGCCTTATATCTCGGGCATTTTTGCTGATGGTTTGCGCAGTTAATAATCTTGAAGTCGTAAAGCTTTGGGGGTTCGATGATGCAAAGCCGGAAAACCTGTTTGCCCACTTGAGCAAACTTCATAGCAATTGAGTGTCAGCGATTGCACAGCCGATTATGAGCATTTTTCCAAAATGCACCATTTTTTTATGAAATTGAAATGTGCTACGGCCGTCCATCGGTTTTTGACCGCTAGAAGGTTCAAACAGCGTTTCCTAATAGATTGTCGCTTGATAAAGTGGACATTTAGTTCTCTTTGGCTTGATGTAAAAATGAGCGTTTTTGGTAAGTTTGCTTCTGAGAAATGAGCAAAAACGGGACATTTTGGCACAATCACCTAAGTGTCTGGTATTGAAATTTCGATTTCTCGGTCAAAACTACTCGAATTTCCTCACTCACGTTGTACGACTGTATCGAGTTTTCAATTCTCTATCCAACGATAGAAAAACGAGTTTTGTAGCTCAAACGGTTCTTGAGAAACTTCGAAAAAAGCAGCGCCATGTTTGGGTCGGTTTTGCATCTCAACAGAAAAACACGCAAATTTAAAACTTTCTGAAACAAACTTTTTTGGAAACACTGGCAACACTTCCTTAGCGATGGATCATTTTCTTAAAGGGCCATTTAGTTCTCTTTCGAATTATGAAAAAATGGGCATTTTTGCCCATTGCGCTTCCGAGAAATGAGCAAAAACGGCACGGAAAACATGAAATTTTGGCATAATCTCGCACTTAAGTGTCTGATATTGAAATTTCACTCTCTGGGTCAAAACTACTCGAATTTCCTCACTCATGTTGTTATTTCTGAATCGAGTTTTCAACTCTTTATCCAACGATGCCAAAACGAATTCTGTAGCTCAAATAATTCTTGAGAAACTTTGAAAAAAGCAGCGCCATGTTTGAGTCGGTTTTGCATCTCAACAGAAAAACACGCAAATTTTGGGTCGCTTTCTGGGTCAAAACTACTCGAATTTCCTGGATCATCTTTGAAATCATCCTGGAAAACATGAAATTTTGGTATAATTTCGCACCTAAGTGTCTGATATTGAAATTTCACTCTCTGGGTCAAAATTACTCCACTTTCCTCACTCATGTTGTTATTTCTGAATCGAGTTTTCAATTCYCTMTCCAACGATAGCAAAACGAATTCTGTGGCTCAAAKGGTTCTTGAGAAACTTCAAAAAGAGAAGYGCATGTTTGAGTGAGTTTTGCATCTCAACAGAAAAACACGCAAATTKAAAACTTCYTGAARCGAAGACTTTTTTGGGAAAACTGGCAACACTTCCTTAGCRAYGGTTCACTTTYTTAAAGGACCATTYAGYTCTCTKTCGAATRATGTAAAAMTGAGCGTTTTTGKCCWTTKTGCTWCCRAGAAATGARCAAAAACGGGACGGAAAACATGAAATTTTGGYATAATYTCGCACCTAAGTGTCTGATATTGAAATTTCACTCTCTGGGTCAAAACTGTTCGTATTTCCTCACTCATGTTATTATTTTTGAATCGAGTTTTCAATTCTCTATCCAACGATGGCAAAACGAATTCTGTGGCTCAAATGGTTCTTGAGAAACTTGAAAAAAAGCAGCGCCATGTTTGTGTCGGTTTTGCATCTCAACAGAAAAACAGGCAAATGTTAAACTTCCTGAAACGAAGACTTTTTTGGGAAAACTGGCAACACTTCCTTAGCGATGGTTCACTTTCTTAGAGGGCCATTTAGTTCTCTTTCGAATGATGTACAAATGAGCGTTTTTGTCCATTTTGCATCCGAGAAATGAACAAAAACGGGACGAAAAACATGAAATTTTGGCATAATCTCGCACCTAAGGGTCTGATATTCAAATTTCACTTTCTGGGTCAAAACTACTAGAATTTCCTCACCGATCTTGTTATTTCTGAATCGAGTTTTAGATTCTCTATCCAACGATAGCAAAACGAGTTCTGTAGCTCAAATGGTTCCTGAGAAACGAAGATAAAAAAGAAGCGCATGTTTGAGTCGGTTTTGCATCTCAACAGAAAAACACGCAAATTTAAAACTGCCTGAAACGAAGACGTTTTTGGGAAAACATGTTGTTATGAGTCCAGAGCTTCCAGGCCTGTTTCGCCTTTTAGCAATTTCAATTAAACACAAGACACGCATCCCTCGAATCACAAAACACACTTATTAAAATCAAACCTAATCTCCTAATGCACCATGCATTACACCATAAAAACGCATTTTCATAACAATGAGACACCATGTCCCCTTTAACGCTTCGAAACTGGGGCCATATGTAAAGTGCTACAAAATATTTTCGGATCGAATATCGTGAGGGCCCTTCGGGCCCAACGCGACAAAGACGCCCATCCCCAGGCGAACTGCTAGAGAGAGAGACAGGGCACAAAGTCGGAGGATTAAGAGTGTCTCTATTTAATTCCGGTGTATTAATTTGTATTATAGGAGGATTAAGTGGTGGCACTGTGATAGAAAGTTGCCGACTAGGGCCCGAATAACTATAGGAATAGGGGGGTTATACCCCCGTTTAGGGTCTATCGATAGCGTACCATGTGGTCAAGCAAATTAAAAATCTATTACGATAAAGGGAGATTTTGCGGGGATTAATCGCGTATATTTTATGCGTGTCGGCGATGGGGCGTTTTACCAGCACTAAGGGTCAAAAGGGCATGGATAATTTCGTTAAAATTGTGCTCGAGTAGATGCATCTTCAAACTAGCGCCAGAAGGTTGAGGGCCAGCAACTGTCCGTCATTACATTGGTGTCTTTTATATTAGGTAAAACATGCGTGCAGTTGCCACTAAAGTGTGCTGATGATTTGTATCATTTAGATGAAACAGTGACTAGAGAATGTTTAAATATATATAAAAAATTGGGCGACTCTAAGATCTGGAGAACCTCGGTTCAAGCAGCGATTGATTAGCAACAGCAAAATCTTAAATAATACGAGATGCGCAGATGACACAGTCCTTATTGCTCCGATTTAGACAGTCTAAAGACGATACATCCAGACAATTGCAATTAGTGTCGCTAATTCTTAGGGAACGTCCCGCCAAAACAGCACCGGGGGGTGACTGTAATTCGATTTAGCGCCGCCCTAATTAGGGGGCACATCTGTAAACAGCTCCGAAGGCCTGTCAGCTATTGACATATGGGGCTCGAAACGTCCGCACGTTAATCCCGCACACACTTGATTAATACTCCAATGTCAATTTGAACGTAACTGATTTCCTAAAGCCCCAGTTAAAGCATCAGCTCAAAAGCTGCACTTGCTTGGGTTGTTAGTTTTCTTAAGTCCGATTTTATTGGTAGTGTGTAGTTGTAGGGCTGTTTTTACAAAATAAAAAAGTGTGCATATTATTGACAAAGGCTGTCTACCTGCAACTGTCTATTAATGACAAAAAACATTATTGCCGCTTTGACTTTTGATCAAAAAATTGTAGAAGAGTAATCAAAGCGGCAATAATGTTTTTTT